GTTTAATCCGAAAATTTCTCAACTTGTAATTTATTGGTTTCGTCTGAGATGTTATTCAAATCACACCAAACCGGACCGTGAAAAGTGAAAACCACTAGTTGTCATGAAACCATCCGCATGCTCATAAAAGGAGAATTTGTTGAGAATCACCACAAAGATGGAATGCATGGTTTTAGCATTTTTCGTTCCAGAACCATGCAATCTGTGAACAAATGTAACTCACAAGCCGAGTATTTCCTACATGTCCTAGTGTTTGTGCATTTTTCTTAGTTAAGCACGTAATTTATATAATAAATTAGCTAATTACCTCCCACTTAGTATTGGGGATACCGTATGTATTTTGTTTGCGACAATGCGACCCACTTTCCAAGAGGTAAGTTTTGAAACATTTAGGATGAATTTTTTATTTGACATAGGACAGTAGATTAGGTTTGGTTTTTAATTAAACAACTCACATTTTATGTAGATGAATTGGAACAACACCAATATAACGTCATAAATTTTTTTTTTGTGCTATATTTTTATTTCTAACTTGAATTATTAAAAAAGAACAATCTTAAATCTTAAATCTTAGAGTGAGACCTGATGTAACCGTTTCTGGTCACGTACCAATTTTTTTGTGATGTACCAATTTTTTGGCTAAGTATCTCGTCATTTGACCTGCTCGCATGAGAGGATGGTCGAGCTCCCTGGTGGTGAGCTACTTGGTGACGAGCTCCCTGGTGGTGAGCTACGTGGTGACGAGCTCCCTGGTGGTGAGCTACGTGGTGATGAGCTCCCTGGTGGTGAGCTACCTGGTGACGAGCTCCATGGTGGTGAGCTACCTAGGTGGACTCGTCATTTGACCTGCTCCTAGGCGGCCTGTAACTCAGGGGATGGTGGAGCTCCCTAGTGTAGCGCAACCCGACTGCCCTCTGCATGAGGTGATCTCCTCTCCTTTGTAAGCGGCGGGAGCTGAGAGACCTGCGAGAACTGAATCAGAGGACCCGGGGTTATTTTCCCAGCGGGGACTCTCTGATGCCTAAGTTAGCATTCTGATTGTAGGGAGCTTGGAGAGAAATGAGGGAGCTAGAGAGCAGGGATTACCTCCATTTTTTCATTCTCCCCCCCTTGTCTTTGGGGGTCGGAGTCCTTATATAGTGGTGTCCTGTCAAATCAGGCATAATAGCCTCTGTCAAGTCGGGCGTAACCGCCTGTCTCTCTGGCACAGCTGTTACTGCCAGAGTTGAGGTGGCGGGTGCAGGCGGCTGCTGCAGAGTATGGCTCTGCCAGTCAAGGGACAGCTCTCAGGACTGGTAGGCACGGTGCCGCCCAGCGAGAGATGTGGGCGCAGGTCTCCAGTTCTGTCAGGTACGGTTGTCAGGCAGGAGATCTTCCTGCGAGACGCCGAGCTGCCCCTAAGTGCTGAGCTACCTATGCCGAGCTACCTGTAAGTGCCGAGTTGCCCCTAGGTGGCGAGCTCTTCGTAAGACACCAGGCTGCCTGCGGAGTGGCCAGCTGCCTGTGGTGAGCTGCCTATGCCGAGCTACCTGTAAGTGTCGAGCTGCCCCTAAGTGGCGAGCTCTTCGTAAGACGCCAGGCTGCCTGTGGCGAGCTGCCTATGCCGAGCTGTCCCTAGCTATACCGAGGTCCCCAAGCTATGTCGAGCTACTTGTGGCGAGCCATGCCGATCTCTGTAAGCGGCAAGCTGTGGCAAGCTCTGCTGAGCTGCCCAAGCTTCCCGAGCTGCCCAGTTGTCAAGAGGCTGCACTTGGTTTGCATGAGGGCGGATTTGTCCCTCCAGTGAAATTGTGACACCTGGCACCTCATGCAAACCAAGTGCAGCCTCTTGACAACTGGGCAGCTCGG